CTGGCAATATAACAGCATAAAGTTTTTGTCTTCGTTGCGCTGAAGAGATTTCCTCGCGCCGCGTGGCTATAGGAAAACAATTGTTTCATTCCGTTAGAAAAGTTTCCATCAAAAAGGGTAGACAGCGTTTTACTGAGCAATTTTGAGCTTGCTGAAAGGGAGATATGGCGCTAACTATACACATAAAGTTGAGTTCACAATGGGCCCTTTCCATGACCCAGTCACATGGTACATAATTAATCTGCCATGCTGAGACGCAATTTACACAGGGGGACTTCCAAAACAAAGGAAAGTCACGGTGGACTGGAACGAGTTGCTTTGGTTTGTGAGTCTCACTGTGTTACTTGTGTCGCAGCATAGCTGATTTTGTGCCATTTGGCAAGATTGTGCAAAGGTACTGTTATGTCTTCATTGTATTTAGTACAAATTCTTACAAAAACTTGGGTAAAATACATGAGGCTATGCCGTCATCATTGTCATCGTCATGACTCTTTTTTACGCGGCTATTTTCTCCTTAGAGAAAGAAATGAAGCTGCAGATTGATGCAAAAGTTTACGATGTGGTTAGACTTCTCGCGCGTAAGTAAAACCAATCGGAGACATCGCTCGGATCCGTGAAGTGTTACGTCTTCGTTATCAAATGTTATTGCTGGAATCTCCGACAGCCTGTCTGGCAGATGTGATATATTGGCAATATTAAGTGTGATTGCGAACAAGAAACGTCCATTTCTCAACCAACTTAATACTTTTTTAATCACATTAAAGGAGAGTGAAAGTATAAGAATGAGGAAAAATAACTTGCAAAAAAACTCTCTTGCGTTTATTACGCAAATTTAATTTAACTCTTGAGCAAATTAGACATTTTCCGACTTGCCTTAATTGTTACCTCTCTTTTTTTATAACGATCACGAGTCCTGGTGCATATCCGATGGAACTGATGACTTGATTTGCAATGCAATAAACGTGCAAGAAATCTCATTTCCTTAAGAAAGGTTGTGGACCAAGGCACGCTTTGAAGCAGAGGTAAGCACAACTCAGAAATGGTTTATTTCAGTGGTGATCATGACCCAAGAGTAACATGAGTTAGAAACGTTCCAGTGTCTTGGTGTTAAGACTTCCACTTAGCCAGCAGTAACACGAGAAAGAAACATCAACTCGTCTCTTGTAATTCTGAACCTGAACCTAAAAAAAAGAGAACCATTGTCTTATGTTAATTAGGATTACCACCATAATCTGGCCAGAAACCGAGCAGAAAGTGAATGCAAACTTAAAAAAAACTGTTAATTTTTTGAACAAACTGTTAGCTCTGGCAATTCAGTACGCATCCTTCATCAAACTTAAATAAATAAGGGAATTGTAAGTTAGGTTAGCTTATACATATGGGAGCAGAATATATATCACCAAAACAAACAAATAAACTTCCCAACAAAAATAAATGTCTTTGTAAATTTCTTGGCGAGATGAACTCAAAATGGCAATTCATCTTAAGCTACACGTAAATGAATTTTAAACTTTAGCTTTTTGCATTGAACTGGTAGAACATAAGTATATTAAAAATGACATGCGTGAGCGGCAAATAGGCTCACGGGTTTGTGCACAGTACAGTACGTGCAAATACTCATATCTACACCTTGTTCAGATACCAGCTTCCTGTATATCCTCCATTGCTGAGTCTGATCGTAAGTTT